AATTAAATTCACCCCGGATTAATTAAAGCGTCTCTACCTTCGTGCTCGAGTCAGCGTGTGCTTCTTCCCCACATGGTGCCTGAATGTCACAGACCTGACATACCTGATGAGTTTCTCGTCCTTCTGGAAATTCTTCTCTGAATCTCTTCCTTGCTCATTAATGTGCCATGTGACAGAGCAGAGTGAGGAAGCCCGTGCACCTGAACTTGCACTCTGCCCCTGGCTGTCAGAAGCGCCCTTGGGTATCCTCCCTTCTCGGGGGTCCCGCTGGAGCCTGTCCCCACTGAGACCAGTGGGGGCTGGTGGAGACACTAGGGTGTGTGAGTGTTCTGGGCAGGAAGCTGGGGGGCTGTGTGGGTCGGGGTGACCATCGTGATTAGAATGGCTGTAGATCTTTGCATTTGTCTTTTTATCATCATTCCTTCATTCTGCTTTCTAACTTCTTCACTCTTTTCTACACAAGAAGTCCTTTATTGCTCTGCCCACTTAACAGGGAGGGAATACTGAGGCCATGAGGTCGGTAGGGAGCTATCCAGGGAGTGACAGGCTACGCCCCGCCAGGTATGTTGGACAGAGCATGTCCCTCGGCCGCTGCAGCATCGGGCTTATCTGTCTTTCAGAGGTTTCTCCATTTTTTCCCGACCTGGGGTGCCAAGGATTCTCTCTCATTATTTTTATCTGTACTTATTTAATTCCTAATGAAACTGATTGTCTTTTCAGACTTTTATTGGCTATTTATATTTATGTTTATATGTCCTCGCTCAGGTTTTTATTCGTCTCTTTGTATTGATTCGTAAGCACTCTTTGTGTATTTCAGATATCAAGCTTTAGTCTGTAAAATGCGTTGAAAACCATTTCTTCCCAATGTTGTTCATCCCTTAATTTTGCCTAGTGTTCTTCATCATATAGAAGATCTAAAGTTCACGTATTCCAATCTGAGCTTTCTTCTTTTTCCTCTTGGCTTCTAGAATTTATGTCTTCCTTATATATACCCCTTCCCAAGAAAATAAAATTAGTCTTCAGTATTTTTCTAATAGTTTTGTAGGGCTTTTTCTATTTAGATCTTTAGTGTATATGGAATTTATTAATTTTTTTTCTTTTTATTGATTTGAGAGAGAGAGAGGAAGAAAGAGGGATAGAGAGATAGAAACATCAATGAGAGAGAACATCGATTGGGCACCTCATGCACACCCCCTACTGGGGATCGAGCCCACAACCTGGGCATGTGCCCTGACCGGGAATTGAACTGGTGACCTCTCGGTGCATGGGTCGACACTCAACCACTGAGCCACACTGGCTGGCCTGGAATTTATTTTTTTGAGTACAGTGTACAGTAGAGGTCAAATTTCATTGTCTACCAAATGGGTTGCCAATTGCAGGGACCTACCAAGAAGTTAAACTTACTTTACTAACATCGTTTTGCTCAGCACTCAGCCAAGTCCAGTCTGGAAGGACAGTGGGGGGTCAGTTTTGGTCTCAAGGATGCTGAACTTGGTTGGCATCACCTCCATGACCCAAACATTATATCCTCAGTTGCTTCTGGAAGATCGAGGCATCTTCATTCCTCCATCATTTTTTCCTGCCAGCAGACCAGCTACTAGCACCTGTTAGGTTCTCCATTAACATTTCCTCACTAACTGGGCTGCAAGGCAACCGATTGTTGGTGCTATTTTGACAATTTACCTGGAGTGCTAGGGGCGAGTATTCCCAAGTCTCTTTTCCAAAGGAGTTTTCAATAAGATTTCAAGTCATTTTTAAAAGATACATTATTTGAAATTCCCTCTGCTCATCTGGCCCAGCCCACAAATGACTTGTCACAATGCAGACATGTCCCTCTGCCTGAATGATGAAGCCCTCTCTACCTTTTCTTCAGATATTCTCTCTGCTGCAAGCTCCAAGCAGATAGGATTTGTTGGTCTTAAAATAGCAGACATGAGTGGTTTGTTCTGTTACTTCCCACCAAGTAAATAACGCTGATAATTCGTCTCACCCCTTACAGAGAACTTTGGTGGAAAGAAAAAAAAAATCTGTCTCTTGATCATTAAAATGAGCTTTACACCATTTAGGTGAATCTAAATTGTGTCATTTTTTTGTCATCAGCCTGTTAACTTGTCAGTCGTTAGTGACAACGGTAATTTATTTTTCTTCTGCAGGACTCTTAGCGCTTCCATTTACTAGATTTAGTGAAACAGTAATAGTCACTTTGTACAAACATTTTAATTAATTTTAAGTAGAAGCTTGAATGCACAATGTTCTGCTCCTGGAAGCCTTTAAGAAGGGGGAGGGCGCATGAAACACTCTACGCATGATTCCGGAACCACCTACCGCCCACAGCCAGAGGAGGCTGGGGGAAGAAAAAGATGGGAGCTCTCCGTGAGCATCATCTGATACTCTTCTGTGCTGGGGGGGGGGGGGGGTGTACATATGTGTGTGCACATGTGTGTGTGCACCTTGGAGACCTACAATATTTTTAATGCTATTAACCCTTGAAGTCAGTTTGAAATTCATGACAGAGTATCCATTCATCTCAAACCAGGTGTCAGTTACTGTTCTGAGTCCTTGAACCCACGACCTCACTTAATTCTTGATCATCTCCGAGAGACAATTTTTTGACGGGGACATTGGGTCTCAGAGAAGTGCAGTAATCTTGCCAAAATCTCACAGTAAGTGCCGGGCTAGGTTTTGCACCCAGTCCTTTCTGGCACCCGAACCCTTGCTCGCTCCACTTCTATTCCATATTATTACTGGGCAAGGTGTAAAGTCAGAATTGTTTGTCCTATAACCTGATGTTTAAAAATCATTTGACTTAATGATAGTAAAAATATGAGCAGCATTATTAATACAGGAGATCCCCATTTCCCATCCAATCTCTTCAAGGAGATCTAGACTGAGCCTTACATACTGTGACGCTCTGGGTTGAGTTATGTCTGAGAACGAATCAGTTACCCAAGGGAAGGTATTCTTCATGCCGGTCAGCCAAGTGACCACTGGAGGTCGCTCATCTGGCATTGGCACTCTCTGCCCCATGGCAAAAGGATTCCTAGAGAGCTTCACTGCTCTTGACCCCCCTTCTGCTGTTTAACACGACATCTGAGGCACCCAGTGCCCCACTTTCCAGAGAGCATCACGATGTTTTGCATTTTTACCACAGTCCTGGTACGCATGCGGCAAATACATCGAAGGAAGGCTACATGGAGACATGGAGAACTCTCCGACCTAACTATTCTCCATTTTTCCCCCTGAGTCATTTAAATAGGTCACATTTTCAATCTGATTTCCCAGGCACCTGATTTTCAATAAAATCCATCCTTTAGACAATCCTTTTTTATTTTTCCCCCCACCACTTGGAGTGTATGCAGAAGAGAAACCATTTCAGTATGAATAAAGAAAACAATCCTAACTGTATTATATCCATTAATAAAGACAATAATTATTCACTCCTTCCTTTCTATCCTCTTCCACCTCTTGGTGGAATATCCCCTCAGTCATAGGTGGACCGTTAGGATGATTTTGTTTTAGGTCAGCTTACCATTAAGGTAAAACATGTACTTCCCCAGAAAACAGGCAGAGGTTCACTGCAGACATTGGTCTGTCTACGTCTTTCATTAATGGCCGTTCAGTGCTTGCTCATAACCTTACCCCTGGGGAATCTCTGATTATCAGAACGTAGGAGGAGCACTTCCTTAATCAAGCCAACACTGATGGATGCAGCACCTAGGGGATCAGCCACGATGAACCTGGTCCTGTCCTCGAGTCGTTTACGATATCTTGGAGAAATCAGACATCCACAGAAGGAGAGTTAATTACTATAAAACTGAAATAGAAAGAAGACAGTAAGAGGGGATTGGTAAAGCAGGGCGGGGCGGTTGGCTAGAGAGAGATCTGATTGGATGCGTAATCACATCGTGGTGCACCTGTTGAATTCTTAGAACCTGTGCATTCCAGACCCCGGGGAAACCGGGACTCAGCGAGGCATCTCGATGGGTCCTTCCCGAAGGTCTCTGAGTGCCAGGTCTGTAGCCTGGAGCCATGTCCCCATTTTCGGCCCACACCAGAAGCCAGGCTGGAAACAGGTTCTTGGCGAACTGATCCGGAGGTGAGAAGTTCAGAGCCTGCAGGAGACCACTGAAACCCCACTCGCGGTCTTTAGAAGGGCGGAATCGGCACGACTGAGGCCCAGTGGGGGAAAACTGTTGCTACTCTCAGACAGTCCCTGCTGATTTTCCGCCACCTCCCCAACAGAAGCAGAGGGTCCCGACTGAGCTGGGAACTGCTCAAGAGGTCTTGTCTCCAGCCTGCCCTCTCCCTCCTGTCATTTTAATAGGCCAGGCACAGTGCATCCTTATGCTTTATTACACGTGTGGCCCTTGGCGCTAGATGCAATCGTTTCTTCATGGCCTAGATAAGGAAACTGAGGTTTGGAGAGATGGTACCAAACCTTAGCTCGTCTCCCTTCCTTTTTGGGAAACATAAACCTGTCAGGAATAGGAGTCAACAAACCTGAAGGTAAAAGGATCAGCAAAGCGGGTTCTGATCCCCCAAACGAACATCACCTTGCGAGTCCATATAGCTTAGTTAGGGGCACAGCTTAAAGTCGGGCCAACCTGGCTCCCCACCCGGCTCCCCACCCGTGAGCTCCATGACTTCGACCACCTAACTCACCAGTCTGCCCCTCCTCTGTCAAACAGGACCATGATTTAGCCTCCACCTCGTAGAGGGGTCGTGATGATCATGTAATAAGTTGCACATAAAGCGCTCTAAGCCCAGCCTGGCACATGGTAAGTGTTTAATTGGTGGCGGCTGCAGTTATGGGTTACAGTTTTGCTGATGGTGGTGATGGCTATTGATTATTCGACGGCGGCTCTGCACCTCCATGGCCAGAGGCCTGGCCTGGAACCGTGCAAGCTCAGCCGAAATGCCAGGCAGGCTCTGCCTCCTGAGCCCACCCAGCCCTTCGGCGCTGGTCCCCATGACCCGGTGCTCTGTCTCTGGTCTTGCAGCTGCCTGCCCTGTCCTGTGCAGCGGGAACGGCCAGTACTCTAAAGGGACGTGCCAGTGCTACAGCGGCTGGAAAGGTGCCGAGTGCGACGTGCCCATGAATCAGTGCATCGAGCCTTCCTGCGGGGGCCACGGCTCCTGCATCGACGGGAACTGCGTCTGCTCTGCGGGCTACAAAGGGGAGCACTGTGAGGAAGGTACGCTCCGGGCGCGCTGGGCGGGCGCGCTGGCCGCACCTGGGCCCTCGAGCCTGGGCCCGGGCCCTACGCTCGGCAAAGGAAACCTAACCATCTTGCACAGAAAACTTCAAACCCCTGGGCTTTGATGGATTTCTTGTTTAATTTAAATTGTATTTTTCAATTACAGTTTGCATTCGATATAATTTTGTATACAGTATTGTTGCATGGACTTCCTAAGTTGTCACAAACAGAAGGTTTGTGGAATGGTTCTGGAAGGAAGGTGTTGGTATTTTTGTGTGTTATAGTTCCTTTTCCTTTTCTCCTTTTTTTCCTCTTTAACTTGCTTCCTCTGCCTTTGTCTTTCTGTCTTCTCTTCCCCTCTGTCCTTCCTCCTCCCCTTCCTGCTTCTTTTCCTTCTTTTCTGAATCAGGACTTACCAAAGCTATCCAGAAAAGAAGGTTTCTGTTTTCTTTACTTTTCCTGATAACCTAAGACCCACATACATATATACATATATCTCTGTGTAACTATTTCTGCAAAAATCAATACCACTAGAAAGCAGTGAGGCTGGAAAGACCATCGGTGTCCTTGTCACTTAGACGCCATGTAGGGGAAGTCACCCTGGTTCTCTATGACTGCAGAGTTTGGGGACAGCTGCCGGAGAGCCGCGAGCTCCTGACCCTGAACAGTTCACCAGAACACACACTGACGTGGCCTCTAGCACACCTGGGTAAAAACCCAGGGACGCCATAAACTGACTCCTGGCAAAACAAGACCAGAGACCAGCTCGGAGATCGGGAGGAAGAGCCCCTCTCTGGAGGTGCTCAGAAGCCAGCTCTAACTCGTCCTGGTTACTTCGGTTCGTTCTTTCAGAGAGTGACTGGGTACCAGGGTGTTGGGAGCACCTGGGGTACCGATAAGGCCAGTGCCCTCAGCCTCCTGCTCTGTGTGTGCCCTTCCAGAATGTGGTCCATAGAAGGAAGCAGCCACAGTTGCTAGAGAGGTGAGAACCTAGGTCCTCCACGTCCACCTCCCACTGAAATGTTTCCACGCATCTCAAACAGCCTTTCCCCTCCCATGTTCTCAGTGGAAAAAGAATTGTCAGCTCACCCAACAAACTCAGGGAAAAAGTGAAGCCTGCTGCCTACTCCATGTGAAACAGCTTGAGATGCCCACCCAGGATGTCCCCATAGAGAAGTCCCAGCTGGACACCCTGTGTTCTCTCTCAGCTTCTGACTGCCAAGGTGATAAGGAAGGACCTCAGGTGCTCCGGCGTTCTCAGGTGCAAGTGAACCCATTGTCCTACCCTATAGGGTAATTTGTGGATTGCCAGGGTTCTATACAAAGTAACCAATCATCCCGGCCCTCGCCACAAAGTCATGACTATGGCTTGTCCTAAGAGACACACACAAAGGCTCCTTTAGTGGAATCTCCCATTTCATCGGTTTTAGATACACGGCTACAAAGAGTCAGCTTCCATGACATGATTCTTCTAAGATTTTTCTATATGTCAGTGTTAATGCCCTTAATGAGGCCCCGAAGTCTGACCTCCACCCCCTATCTTCGCTTGCTCGACTCTATAGATATGTTTTCCTCTCTTATAAAGGTAGCCTCCCTCTGTCTGCTTCATAAACCGAAGCTGGGAGCTGGGATGGAGGAAGTACTGATCTAATCACCCTGCCTGAAAGGTTAAAGTTCTTAAAGATCAATGGATCACGGGAGGCAACGCTGCACACGCTGAAAACAGGGGAGAGGCCAAGAATATGACAAGAAAGGTGGAAACGACCTTTGGCACACATCACTTGGCAAGCGGGACATGCAGCCCTGTGACACTGCCCATCTTCGAGTGTTCTCCCTCCAGGAAAGATGGCACATACCTGCATGAGTGGAATTTCAAGTGACTCTCAACTTCCCTACTCCCCCGGCCAGTCTTTCTTACATGGTCAGAATGAATGAACCATCCAACAAAACCCGGAAGCCACGCAGATCGTTAGAAAAGGGTGAAATCTCGTCGATCGATTTCGAAGCTCCCCAAAAAGAACGAAGCGAGTGGCTCGTCCGCGGTTTTCAGACTGGGGAATGGGACCAGGGTGTCTGGGTCAGCACGTTTGCTTCCACTTCGCTGTTTTCATTCCCGATGTTCGTCAGAGTCCTGACGTTCAAACAGTTTGCCCCCCTCCGTTTCTGCTGCGCTCACGTGGTTTCACAACGAACACGTTTGCACGAGAGAACGTGCAACCTCACGTGGTGAGGTTTCGCTTACTGGCGTCCGGGGGAGTGGGAAGGGGATGAGGGAGAAAGTGACACATTGGTTCAACCCAGCCATGTTCTCATGTCCGTGTCACGGCTGAGTCATTTTTCAATGACATTTAACTTCAGAAATGTAATTCGTGGTTCTTCGGGGGTTTATAGTACATATTGTTTGTAAACCTCTTTGGCCTCCTTTTTCATCCTTAGGGATGGAAACTGCACTCACAACCTTTTTTTTTTATTTTTATCAAACCTATGGAGGGCTGAGGACTAAATGAGTTCTAATGATTTCAGCTGCCAGGGGGCTGGTGCTATAAGGCACATGGTACTTAGCTGGTCAAGGCCACTGTCCCCCTTTTAAGTATAACACTGTTTCTATTTATAAAGCTTCGTAAAATGCTGTCCTCCCTCCTGCCTGCTAGACACTCTGAGGACGTGGCCACAAGACCATCTTATGAAATGGGAACCAAATTTAAAATTCAGAGTGAAACTGCCCCTCTTAGAGTCTGAACGGAGTTACTCCATCAGCCGCTGTAATTATACAGCCCGGAGGGCATATTTACTGGTATCCCTGACCAGAGGAAGGGTTGGCTCATATTTCTAGATGTAATAAATGGTTCTTTTAATGACATTCCAGTCCTGGCTAATAAATCTCAGCGGCTCTCCTTCCTTCCTTCATACTGTAATTCAGAATAAAGAAGGAGGAGCTCGTTTATCTGGAAGAAAAATGCCATTTTATTTATTCTTTTGTATATTACTTTTGATTTCATCCTTTTGAGAAACAGATGATGATATAGTTTTTGAGGTTTTTCTTAAAGCTCCTTGCTCTTGGCACCTCACCAATCCTTTTAAGTGGGTAATTGTAAACAAAGGGTGATTTCGGAGACGCACGGCACATGAGATATTTTTGTGTACATTTCAACGTTGCTGTGTTAGAAATGGGGACAGGATATAAACTAGAACTCAGGGATTTTCTTTTATTAGAAGAACGTGGAAAAGATTGATTCTGAATGAATTAGTTCATATTTGGCACAGCATTTATCCCCAAAGGAGAAGTTATTAACACCATTTTTCCTGTCAGTCCTTCGCACTGGAAATGTGTCCCCTCCACAGCAAATGCTTATAGCAATGTCTGTCGTTCATTCTCATAGCGACTGTGCACTGAGCAGCTACTGTATCCCCTTAACACGTGGGAGGTAGGAGACACCAAAGCCATTACACAGTCTTCTTGCAAATGTCTTCTATGTGATGGAACCTGTCATTCATTTACATTCAGATGTGCCCCACCATCCTGAGTGGAGCACATTCAAAAGAATCAGAAGGGTTCCTATCATCAGGAGTTATAATCCCCAAGACAATGAATTCTACATTCAAGTGATTATAACCAGAGCAAGTAACATCATCAGAACAGCTTCAACTAATAATAAATCACTCAAATGCACCTTTCTGAGAATGTGTTCCTGCTTTAAAAATAAACAAACAACCAAACAAAAAATGGTAGCTTCTGTTTCCCCGTGGCTCAAATAGTTTCACACGGATCCCATAAATAATATCTTCCTGAGAATATCCACCTGGAATCCTGAGAAACATCTTTTAACACTGAAAAGTCTTGTTTTTGCCTCAAGGGAGGGGTGCTCTTGGGAAACTTCATGGAATATTGTGATTTCTAATCCACATTCCTCAAATTTGATGTCCACCTGGCATGCATAATCTAAATAATGTATTTTGAGCCAATGTATCAATTTAAAAATACACCATTATAGTGTATGCCATAGAAAGAAAGAAAAAAGACACTATCCTACAAAAAGCTGGGACCAAGGGATTGCTCTCGGTGTCATGATGAACTATTTACAGGTCAAAAATCTTGCAAGTTTGTTTTATTTGTGTGTGTGTGTTTATTTTTTTTAAGAGAGAGGAAGGGAGAGAGAGATGGAAACATCGATGTGAGAAACATCGATCAGCTGCCTCCTGCACACCCCCCACTGGGGATGGAGCCTGCAACCTGGGCATGTGCCCTGACCAGGAATGGAACCAGGACCTCTCAGTCCATGGGACGACGCTCAATCCACTGAGCCACACCCACACCTGCCGGGCAGCATGTTTTAATCTTGGCATTGGGCGGGGAGAGAAATGAAAATCTTCTCCGAGAATCTGAACCACGAGATGGCGCCACCCGCAGGAGGGAATGAATTACGCTATCCATGTGCTCCAAAGACCTCAAGAGAAACATTGGGAGAGGTCTCAAGCTGGCTGTGCCCTCAGGTGATGGCAGAAGCAAATGCTTTCATCTAGGATTTCCAAGCTGTTAAAATGGAGGGAAGGTATGTCTTAGTCAAGTAAGGTGATGAGACCTCCCTGCTTTGCTGATCCACAAGGAAACATCGGACCCCCTCACGAGCACCCACCGTTCGCCATGCAGACTCGGTGATGTGCAGACCCGTCGTCTCCGAATTCCTAGGAATACCTAAGGGGGCTGGTCTTCTAGAAAACCCTGGTAACCAACCCTTGGCTGGATGGATGTCTGAAGTTTGGGGTCACATTCTCACACAAAAAGTCCTGTCCTCAAGAACTGGCCTAGGCAGCTCACTTTTCTTCTCACTGTGAGTTGATTTCAGAATAATAATCTTCAAGTTACCCACTGGATATATATACCCACTCTGATTATTGAGACGGTCAAGCAATCAGACCGTGAAATTGGCAAGAACAACAGCGACCAGAATCTGACCGTTAAGTAGTCCGATTATCTGATGGAAGGTCGGTGCCACGGCTAACAGGATTCACCCACCCGAGGTGCGCATGATTCCCTGCAGGAAGGTTAGCCCCACTGGGCTGTTTCCACACCCAACGTCACCTCTTCTTCCCTGCACATTTACTAACTCCTTCAGTAGGTGTGCTTGGAAAATGGAAACTCATTTTAGACTTGGCCTGGGTGAAACCGTTTGGAAAGTCAGTCACTGATGAACTTTATTGGTTTTCTTTTGGGTCTTTTGTTACCTTCTGAAGTCAGGTATGAGTGAAGTTAGAATCAGCCTCTCTCCTCTTCTCTCCGGTGATGAGGGGCAGTTGGATTTGGCCCTGCCACACACAGAGAGATCACCAGTATTTGTGTTCCAAGCGTAGAACCTCCGATCTGGCTCAATCCAAACAGCAATGTTAGTAAGTGCAAGGTTTTCAAACATAAATGGCACACCTCTGTGTCTGATTCCTCCTCTTTCTGCTTGAGAAGTTCCCTTTTTTCTCTCTACATTCTCTTCAAGTTTGAGATGTGGTGTTCTGACAAATAACAAGTCTTCAGTTCTTTAAGGGACCACGTCAGTACGACCTGGCTGCCCCGGCTGCTTGCGAGGGGGTAGGAACCGGTGTTAGCTGGTGTCTCGTGGCCCGTCCCCCATGCGTGATGCTGTTTTCCTGTTCGTCTTTTCCAGTCGATTGCTTGGATCCCACCTGCTCCAGCCACGGGGTCTGTGTGAACGGAGAGTGTCTCTGCAGCCCCGGCTGGGGCGGCCTGAACTGTGAGCTGGCGAGGGTCCAGTGCCCAGACCAGTGCAGCGGGCACGGCACTTACCTCCCCGACACCGGCCTCTGCAGCTGCGATCCCAACTGGATGGGTCCCGACTGCTCCGTTGGTAAGACGAGGCGTTTTCTCCTCACTTTCCCCAACACGCCTGTCCTGTGACCTTCCCTGAGCCCAAACGCATGGGCAGCTACTCTTCACACTCAGCTGGGATCCTAGGGCCTTTGGGCCATTGGACTCGGGTCTCTTAACTCTCTTCTCCTCTGTCACGTAGTCTGTGGTCCTTGAGAAACAAAAAACCCACTGCCTCGGTTCCTGTGCCTCGCCGGGTCCCTCACTGCACATAGAGGAGGGGCCGGGGGGCCGCTTCCATTTGCATTGTAGATTTTTCTGATGTATGCTCCCGAAGGTACCAGGAAACAAAACACGACAGCTCGGTCCCGGCAAGCTGAGTGGAACATCCTATAAAGCAGCCAAGAGGCTCCCGCGGGTGCAGCGTGAGGCCGCCCGAGCTCCGCGGAGCTCCCGTGACAGGCGGATAATGAAGCTGTGCTGCGCACTTTCTCTCCCTAAAATTGAGAGCGTGTGTCTCCCCTCCCAAGTGACCTTAAAATGGAATGGTTCAAGGCAGCCCCAGCCTTCCCGAGAATGACTCCGCTCACACTGACCAGCCCCGTCCAGGCAGGGCATCATCGTTCTGCCCCTCCCCCTGGGCAGTGAGGCCGCAGTCAGGAGGGAATCTATGGGACGCTTCGCCTGCAATGGGGAAGAAATTATTATTTCACTGCCAACAGAGAAGAAGGAGGAGAGTAGGTTCAAAGGGGCTCTTTTGGAAGCTACTGGAATCTGGCTTCAGCTCTGATGCTCTGGTCCAGGCCAAACTCTGCGGAGGAGAGGGGAGGGGAGCCCTAGAGGCGAGGCCCCACTGTGCTAGTGACGTGCTGTGACTTTGCCTGAGTCACGCCCCTCCCCCGCCTGGTTCCCCTCCCTCAGTGGTCTGTCCTAAGGATGAATGTCTGCTTGTCCTGGCGTGAGAGGTCTGGAACGCCAGAGAGTGCATGTCTGTCTGTCTGTCTCCTCCCCAACCACAAAAGACTTTGAGCTCCTTCGAGAAAGAGGCTGTGTAAACGCTAAACAGCCACAGCGGTCCTCGTTGCCACCATGGGGATGGAGCTGTGGGGTCCCGGTGGACCCTGGTCCAGTTCAGGCTCTCAAGGGGAGAGCATCCCAGCTGGCTAGGGAGTCAGGATTCACAGCTATTTCCCAGTCGGCCTCTCCCAGGCATCGGCCAAGCTGCGTGGCCACTGTCTGATCTCCTGCGGGGTTCTCAGCTCCCCAACACTGGTTCTCACGCTCGAGTGAGCATCAAGACCCCCGGAGGGTGTGTCGGAGCACATTCCTGGGCCCCGGTTCCAGAGTTTCTCATTCAGCAGGTCCAACCGAGGCACAGGTTCCCAGGTAACGGTGATGCTGCTGGTCCAGAGAACCACTGCTCTAGAACATCCATAGCAACAGATCGGTCCCCAGCCAGTGGAGAGAAAGGCCTTCCAAGGTCACACAGTGCTGGACCATGGGGCCTGCTCCAGGGACCCGGGCGTGCGCATGGTCTGGCCGCCGTGGAGGGTTTGTCCAGCTGAGGTGTTGAGCTGTAACCATTGTTTTTCTTCCAGAAGTGTGCTCAGTAGACTGTGGCACGCACGGCGTCTGCATCGGGGGAGCCTGCCGCTGTGAAGAGGGCTGGACAGGCGCCGCTTGTGACCAGCGCGTGTGCCACCCCCGCTGCACTGAGCACGGGACCTGTAAAGATGGCAAATGTGAATGCCGAGAGGGCTGGAATGGTGAACACTGCACCATTGGTAGGCAAACGGCAGGCACCGAAACAGGCACATATTGCTTTATTTTCATAAATCGTAGATCGATAGTGATGGTCGTGCATTGCCGCCGGCTATTCCTTCGGGGACACAGTGCTTGCCAACATTCTTGCTGCCTCTGCAAATCCCCAAGGGGACCGCGAAGGGAAAGGCGAGGTCCCCCATTAGAAAAGGCTTTCCCTTCTTTCCAGAATCCGAGATTGGGAGGAAAGGGACCAAATAAGAAAATCTATCCAAATTACTATTCTCGGGGCGGGAGAAATGTACACGCATGGGAAACTGTTGGGACCTGGAGATTCAAGCTCCCGGATGACCGTGGTCTGTAAGTCACCCCTTTTTTGATGTCCTCCCAGCTGACTGGATCACTGGATCCCTCTCGCTGGCAACAGCTGAACTCATTTTTCTAGACAAGGTCGGATGCAGGCAGGACCCCCAGGCTTCCTGGATCTAGTACCACTGAAATAGGTTCGAGCACCCTCTTGCTGGCCCTAGACAAGGCTTCCTTCTGGGGCTCCTGACTCTCCCCATCAGCACCACCCTCACCAGACATCTCCTCTGGTCCCCATCCTCAGCCACCTCTCTAGAGAAGCCCTGATGGAGAATGGCTTTTAAAAGTCATTTTCTTGTTGAGAAGTAATAATTCTCAAGTTTTTTTTTTTCTTTTTCTTTTTTTTATTATTGCATTATATATGCAATGTTTTTATTGTATATGCATTATTGTGCTTTAAGGTGGGAAAATACTGGACAGAATATATTCCATTTCCCCTTTCATTGAGGTGAAGGAAGCCACAGCTCTCTGGTTTTGCACGTCTCTCAAACAGTTCGGATGACCCCCGTTCTGCCTCTGGTTTTCAGACTTGTTGTTCAATCAAGTCAAGTCTGGGAATCGTTTCATGCCAAGCCGGCTAGTTCACTTGCTTGCATGAAAATGCCCAGAGATGTCTCCAAACTCCTGATTTGCCCCTTGAAGTCACTTTGGTTCTAGCCATCACGTTGAGGGTTGTCCTCTCTGTCCCATCCCCCAAACCCTAGTCACCGATCGTCCACCTGGAGTGAGAGACGGGGGTTAGGAGCTTACCCAGGGCTGACTCGTGAGAGCAGACTCAGTTTCCCATGCTGTTCATTTGGGTGCTTACGCAGAGAGAAAGTGCTCTCTGCAGAGACTTCGCCCAGGTCCATCTGATTGGGCATCCAAGGGCAGCGGGCCAATCCAGGCCACAGCCACAGCACTGGGACCCTGCCGGGACAGCCTGTGGGCAGTGAATGGTTTTTGCAATCTCTCGCTGGTGCTCCAGATCCCGCCCCCGCAGCCACTTCCATCTTCAGTTCCCTGCAGAGTCTCGTAAAAAGAAGTAAAAAGACTTTCAAGGGAGGGATGTGCACAGCCCACTACAAGACAGTTTACAATTCTTCCCAATAGCTTCCACTGTCGGGGACGTTCCCCTTGATGTATTTTTGCATGCCCTCTGTGACATACATACTTTCCCCTCCCCTATACCTTTATTTCTCCCAGTCTTCCCCCACAAAAGAGCGCTTGCCCACCAATAACCTCCAGGTAGGAAATCCTACTTTCTCTCCATACACAACCCAGCTTCACCTCCCCTTGGCTCTGCCCTTCCCACATCTGCCGAGGTTTAGTGTCTCGCAGCGATGTCTGCTGACTCTCTCCCTACCACCCATCTCTGCTCTGGAACAGCTCACAGGGAAGCCCAGACACCTCAGAGCAGCGTTTGAAAAACCACGGCCCGCAGGGCCGAATCTGGCCTGCTGCCTGTTGTTCGACGGCTTATAAGCTGAGAATAGATTTTACATTGATGGTTAAGGGTTGAAAAAATTTTTTTAATATCTTTTGCACTTAAAAATTATGTGAAATTCAAATTTCAGTGCCCATAAACAAATGTTATTAGCCGATAACCACACCCATCTGGCGATGTACTGTCAACTTCCACGTTGTGTCTCAGCGTCGAATGATTGGGACAGAGACCTCATAGTCCACAAACCCATTGGTTATCTGGCTCTTTGCAGGGGGGAAAAAAAAAATGGCCAACCTGAATTAGAGAGTCGTGCAATTCTTGATGGAGAGAGAAAGGAGAGGGGCGGGTCAGTGTTTGCATTAGGAGGAGCCCAGTTCTGGCTTGAAGGACCTCAAGGGCCAAGAGAAAGGAAGACAAAGGTGCAGGCATCACCACATGGATTCGAGAGAAAACTGCAGTTGAGTTGCAGTGTCTCTGGGGCCTTTGGAAATGAGGCGGGAAATGATGACTCAGTCTCAATAGAAAATGCTGAGGATATAGCAGCAGGAGAACACAGGAGCTGTTTTGTTCTTGCTAGCCCTGTGGGTGAGATGAATTAGAAAAAGGTATTTCTGCAACGAAGTATTTGGTTCAAGTTTCACATCTTCATGCACTACGATATTCTTGAGAGACATCAGAGAAAATGCAAATGTATATGCCAAGTCACGCTCCCCAAAGGCAGCGAGTGGTGATCTGGGCAAGTCACCTGTTCAGAACAATGACCTCTCATGTCTTTATGAGTTGGTGCTATGTGATTGGCAAAGATCTTTATCACCAAAGTGTTTTGTTGTGAGAAATTAGAGCTCTCTGGTTTTATTTGTAGGGTAGATGATGTCTCCCCATAGTTGTGCTTTCTGGGGGTTGCTCAATAAAAAATAAAAAATAAATTTTAAAAAGACCAGACATACCTTGGTTGGTAAGATGTGCTATTCAGAATCCAGAGGTGTTCTTGTGCACATAATTGCTTCTTTTGCTTTCCCACCTCTGGCCCCAGAGCTGTTTCGTGGGGATTTTATCCTTTATTTTGAGCAGACATTCCTGTCAATTCATTTTAAGTAATGCCACAATTTACAAGCATGGATTCCGTCCTCTTCGGGGATTCTGACAATCAGAAAGGGAAGGGGCCTTTGGTCCTTTCCAAGCAGATCCCCAAATGCTGTATTTTGAAAATAGAAAATAAATAAGAATGAAATAGCACCTAGAGTGCAAACAACGTATTGGGAGATTTGGGGTGAGGCAGAGCACTGCGTGGTTAGTGTTGGGGTACTTGGGTTGTCTGTGGCCTGTCTTCAGAAGGTCATGGGGGGACAATTTGCTGGCCATTGCAAATAGTCCACTGACTAATTCACATCAGCACTGTGGACCAGATTTATTTTGCTGAAGGAAGCAAGACGGTAGAGGGGGAGACAGGATGAGGGTAAAGACACAAACTTCTAACACAATTGGGTAGAGATTTACCAGGATCTATCCATGTTTAGCCAAATGCACATCTGAAATTTTTTCAACCAAATTATATTTTTTATATTTGGAACTTTAGTATACGTGGCTACAGATTTAAATATAAGGTATACCATTTTGTTGTTAACCATTAGAGTTAACTTATTGGTAGCCTAGATTCTACCGAGTAGCGATTCTTATATTACCTCTTTCTAACAAGTTAAATATAAGGTATGGCTAAAATTTACAGAATTGCATAAATAAGAAATATGCTTTGCATCCAAATCAAGCACACTTCATGTATATCTTCGCAATGTATTCGCATTTTTTGCATAGCCTGCATTTGCTCTTATGAATAAATCAGAAGGCACATTGCGTAGTTAGAACAGCTTTATTCTTTAAATATGATCCCAAAATGGGTTGTTGTTTTGTTTTGTTTTTTCTATAACCTGCCACTACCACCACGACTACTCCTAATTAATACAGGGGATTTAATTTCAGAAGGCCATCTAAGGCTGTAATACCAGGGCCTAGGGAATCAAAGAATAGGTCAAAAATCACTATCAACTATAGTAAATGCAGATAAGCATCTCTTATATTATAAAGAAATAGAGTAGTTGTTAGTGTATTTTGTGAGCAGAATAATTGGGTAATTACAGGGAGAAATCAACATTCATGTTGCCGGTGGAAGAAGGTAGGGGAGCTAAATGCTAATTGAGAGTTGTTGCTATTATCTCCTGAATGTGGGCTGTCCAGACATTTATTCTCAGTAATACCACCTAACATAGCCGTAGAATAAGTCCACCATCACTGGGCACCGACCCTCAGTGAACTGTTAGGTGTCTGGGCAGCGAGTAATGCCTGTAATAGTTATTCCAACTTGTTTATCCTCTTTAATTGGTTGGGGGAGAAGTAGGTTCTTGTGGTGTTAATAAGGGAAATGAATCTTTACCCAAGGTAAACCCAGCCGTGCGACTGATGTGCTGATTAAGTGATTGTCATCAGAAGTAGACAGGTCCCAGTGCAAGAGGCAGCGAGCCCCGGGGCTGGAGGGAACAGGTTGGGGAAGAGAGCGGCTGTCAAACGAACCAGCCTCCGACTGAATACAGCCGCTTGTGCATCTCATTCCTGGTTCGTTCTGTGATGGAAACGTTTTCCTGGCAGCGACTGTCCTGGAGCATTTCAGCCCCCACGACTACGCGGACATCAAGTTGGGATGAAATTAACCACTGTGGAGCCATTCTTACCTCCAGGTCTGTGGGAACAGCTAATCCTCTGATGGGCTGATCCACCCACCCCTCTGGGGGCTCTTACTCGGAGCTGCCCTAGGAGCTTCCTCTTTGTTGAAGTGAAACCCTAACGGGGTGGCCTTTCATGTTAAAAGTTAGAGACAACCTCTTAGCAAAGTACAAAAGATGTTCCAATGCTGATTGTTTCCCCCTACAATTTGCCCAAAATGTGAGCCTTCTCATCGAAGCACTGTGTACCCAGAAGTTCTCTTTGAGCCTGGGTCAAGCGGCCTGCTCAGGTTTCTTGCCCGAACCCAGAACAAGGATCCGGAGGTAGAAGTCACAGGAACTCGCTGCCACCTCACCGCAGGAAGGGAAGCACAGTGAAAGGGGAAAACTGCCCCATAGGCAGGGAGATTCTCGTCACTGACGGGGCTTACTTTCTGGCCTAGACGTTGAAGAGGGGTGATCAGCATCCGTTCGGAAGACAGACCGGATAGACACAAAGTTTGTCCCGACTTGACGG